AGTTTCACTCTTGTTGCCCAGGCTGGAGTGCAATGGTGCGATCTCGGCTCACTGCAACCTCTGACCCCTGGGTTCAAGTGATTCTCCTACCTCAGCCTCCCGTGTAGCTGGGATTATAGGTGCATGCCACTATGCTCAGCTAATTTTGTATTTTTAGTAGAGACGGGTTTCTCCATTTTGGTCAGGCTGGTCTCGAACTCCTGACCTCAGGTGATCCGCCTGCCTTGGCTTCCCAAAGTGCTGGGAATACAGGTGTGAGTCACTGCGCCCAGGCCATTGATAGGTTTTGAGCAGAGGAATGACATGATTAGTCTTACATTTTAAAAGAATGGCTCTGATTGTTGTTGTGCAAAAGTAGAAGTAGTGGTACAAACACCAGGTGCGAGGGTTTGGGAATAATCCAGACTAATGATAATGATGGCTTGGACCACAGTTGCTGTAGTAAAAGACTACCTGCTTGAACGTGTGTAGACTGAGAGAGATAGAAAGAAGTAAGGATGACTCCAAGGGTTTTGACCTGAACAAAAGGGAGATGAGAGAAGCCATTAATTGAGATCTGAAAGACTACTGGTCAAAGAGCATCAGGAGGAGAAAGTCAGGAGCTCACTTTTGTTCATGTTGATCCGATAAGCCTTCATACATCCAAGTGGAGATTTTGAGTAGACTGTTACTAGACATAAGAGTCTAGAGTTCTCAAGGGAGGTTTGAGATAGATATATAAATCTGTGAGTCACTAATGTTAAATATATAGATGGTATTTAAAGAGATGAAATGGATGTAATCACCTAGGAAGTGAGTGTAGATTGGAACAGAAGACTTCCAAAGGTTGGGGCCCCAGGGTGCACCAATATTGCCAAGTCAGGGATCATGAGTAGAAACCAGAAAAAAAAAAAAGTCCAAAGAAACAAAACAAAGTAAACAAATACAAAAGCCAAGAAGAAAGAAAGAGGAAAACCAAAAGAGTGTGAAGAAGAAAGTACATTAAGAATGGGATAATGGCAGCTGTGTCAAATACTACCAAAACGTTAAGTGAGATGAGGCTGAGAACTGACCATTGAACTTAGTAATAGGGAGATTAATGGCAACTGGACAAGGCAATGAAATCATGGGGGTAAAATCCTGTTGGGAGGACAGGAATTGAGGCAAGGAGTACACGCCATGGTGGAAAGGAGTTTTGTTGTAAAATAAAGCTGAGAAATGGGGCAGGACCTGGAAGAGGATGTCAGATCAAGAAGGTTTTTTTTTTTTTTTTTTTTTTAGATAGAAAATATTACCAGATAGTTATAGAATATATAATAGGATACTTGTGTTTTCTTTATTGTATCCAATAGAGAAAGAAAAATTGGTGATAAACAGTAACGGGGCTGGGCACAGTGGCTCATGCCTCTAATCCCAGCACTTTGGGAGGCCAAGGTGGGTGGATCACTTGAGGTCAGGAGTTCGAGAATAACCTGGCTAATATGGTGAAACCCTGTCTCTACTGAAAATACAAAAATCAGCCAGGCACGGTGATGTGCGCCTGTAAGTCCAGCTACTCGGGAGACTGAGGGAGGAGAACTGCTTGAACCTGGGAGGCAGAGGTTGCAGTGAGCCAAGATTGCACCACTGCACTCCAGCCTGGGTGATGGAGCAAGTTTCCATCTCCAAAAAAAAAAAAAAAAAGCCAAGCATGGTGGTTCATGCATATAATCCCAGCACTTTGAGAGGATGAGGTGAGCAGATCACTTGAGATCAGGAGTTTGAGACCACCCTGGCCAACATGGTAAAACTCCGTCTCTGCTAAAAATACAAAAATTAGCCAGGTGTGGGGACAGGTGCCTGTAATCCCAGCTACTTGGGAGACTGAGGCAGGAGAATCTTTTGAACCTGGGAGGTGGAGGTTGCAGTGAGCCAAGACTGCACCATTACACTAGAGCCTGGGTGACAGAGTGAGATCCTGTCTCCAAAACAAACAAACAAAAAAGTAAGAGGGCCTAACTTCTAGAGCAATGTCCTTGGGATCCAGTGCTCAAGGATAGGGGCTAGACTTAAATAGGGTCAAGAGCAGTCATTTATAGTAAGGATAGGGGGAGGCAGTATTTACAGGTCCAGATGGCTGGCAGGTGGGTCGATACCTGGTGGGAGCTTGTGGAAGGGAGCTCTTCTGAGTTGAATAAATAGGCCTGAAGTTCAGAACAGAAGTTTGAGCTAAAGATAGAGACACAGTCATTATCCTTTCGTTAGAAGATAGGTGAAGTTATGAAGTAGAAAAAACCTGGGGCCAGGTGAGAAGGTAGAGTAAGGGATTGAAAAACAGTGAACAACAATGTGGCTACTGGCCATAAGTGCATTCAGAGTTTAGAGAAGGGAATAGCAACAAGACTGGGGAGGCAATGGATTTGAGCTTGAATGGCAGGATTTGGTCAGAATCATTCCAGGATCAGGGCAGCAGTGATCATGTTATAAGAAGAGTACTTTTAGCTAAGAACACAAAATATAAAATGGAACCAAGAGAAAGAAAGCTCTTACTCTCTGCTTTGATTCAACATATGCATGGGAAGTATCTTAATTAATGATAGCAATGGTCAAGGGAACGCTAATGGATTACAGTATTGAGGGCTAGGGTGGGAGGAGTGGGATCAGAGAGGCTGATGGAGAGCCTGAAAGAGGAATTCTTGTTCATGGGGTCAGGATCTTGATAAGGAGAATGGAGAGGAGGTTTTACAATGAGTGTTAGAAATAAAGATTTGGGGAAAGCCAATACACTCTTAGAGATGTTCTTTCAGCACCTCTTCTCTCCTTTAAAATGTGTCCCTTACATATTTAAAAGAAGAATTATATTTACTGTAATACAAAACTTCTGACTCTAAACTTCTTAGTCCTACAATAATGCCAGACTGTCGTAAGGATTATGTACCAATACAGTGTTTCAAATAATTTGTATCGGCAAGCCTTATACACCTATGAAACAAAGGCGTTACTAACAACATTGGGTAATAAAATATATAACTCAAGTTTCTATTGATTTCAACAGAATAAAAAGCTGGTACATTTCCTGGAACTAGGGACTGGGAGAATGAAGGGGAATTCCTATTTGTTTCCTTTTGGTTCTATTCAGAAACTCAGGTGAACCAATAAAAGAGTTAGAATTTCAACTCGAAATATGAAAATCGTTTTCTTCTCATATCAGATCAATCCATCTGTCTTACATGGTTTCCCTCTTCTCCTCAGAAATTTATTTTGAAAAGAATTTATGTCTGATGTCTGATGTCTGATGAAAATAATTTATGTCAGACATAAATTCAGAATTTAGGGCTGAATTTATGTTCTTATGTCCTTATGCCCTGAAATGGTATCAGGAAACACCATGGGGTACCTGGGAGCAGAAATATTTGGATAATGGAAAAGTTTATTGAAACCAAGGAACTTTGAATTATAGAACCAAACCAAACCCAATAGACACAAATCTCCATAACTTACAAGTTTCCTTAGACCTTAGAAAGAATTTCAAGAGGGAGAAGCAGTGTTAATTGTTCTAGAATCAGAGATTTAAACCTTAAAACAAATTTCTACATTTTAAATTAACTCATATTCAAACAAGGGGATTCAATCCAAAATTAGGTGAGGGAATTGAATTTAACTAATCAAAAAACATTTACAGAGTTTAGCACTGTATAAAATTCTATAGAGCAGCAGAGAATTATAATGTGACCTTGCCCTTAAGGGACTTATAAGGATGATATGTTTAAAAAATAAAAGAATTGAGAGAGAACTTAACACTTTTTGAATTATTGATTAGTCTTCAAATGGAAGCAGGTTTAAACTGGAGAACACAGGTGAAGTAAATTGCATCTCAATAACAAGAAAGAAAGTTCTTAAAATTGGCAATGTTCAAAGGCGGAATAGACTGGTTCATCAGGCAGTAGATTCCTTCATTCAACATTCATTCATATATTGAGCTTTCACCATCTGTCACACATGTGCCGGGGTGATGAGGTTCAACAGTGAGCAGGACACTTCCCTTACCCTCCAGGGGCCACATCCCAGGATACACCATCTCTATCTAGATGTTTATTGGACATGGATGTTCTGAAAGAAAACATCAAGTTTCTTTTTAATCTCTTTAAGAAGAAAAAACATGCATATACAATATTAAGTATTGGTATAATATTTAAATTAAAGGTCAAGACAACAGCAAGGAGTGAGAGACATTCAGCAGCACAGAAAAAAAATGCTATAGGAGTTCAGAAATATCACTTAGGACTGGGGTGGATTTGGGAGTACTCTAGGGGGAGTTGGAACTTAGACAGATGGAGAACAAGGGCCTTTCAAATGGAAATGGCCATATAAATATATAAGTAGAGTGCTCAACAAATTGTTGCTATGATGACTACCTTCTGGAACAGTCCAATATTGGCCCTTTTAATAGAAATATTGGCTTACCAGGAAAACCTTTTTTTTTTTTTTTTGAGACGGAGTCTCGCGCTGTCGCCCAGGCTGGAGTGCAGTGGCCGGATCTCAGCTCAATGCAAGCTCCGCCTCCCGGGTTCACGCCATTCTCCTGCCTCAGCCTCCCGAGTAGCTGGGACTACAGGCGCCAGCCACCTCGCCCGGCTAGTTTTTTGTATTTTTTAGTAGAGACGGGGTTTCACCGTGTTAGCCAGGATGGTCTCGATCTCCTGACCTCGTGATCCGCCCGTCTCGGCCTCCCAAAGTGCTGGGATTACAGGCTTGAGCCACCGCGCCCGGCCGAAAACCTTTTTTTATTAAAAAAAAAAAAACCAAAAAGACTTCAACTGCCAGTGTGTTTTGGACTGGGGTGAATTCATCTGGTTGGCTCACTCTTTTAGTGTTCAGTTCACTCTGAACAATGTCAACAACTGCACTGTACACTTGGGTCAATCCGATTATGTCCTGGCTCTCATTTTTCTTGCACAGCATCCTTTCTCAATGCTGTGTTGTGTAATGTATGTGTAAGAAAATATAAACAGTCAATGTTGGAAGGGATTTAATGTAGTTTTTCCAGTGAAACAAAACTTTTAAGAATCTGAGTTTGTTTTTCAAAGATCACTAAATTTTAGTTATGATTAGATCATATTTTCCAAAATGTGTGGCAGTTGTTGCCCTCCTTGCCCTGAGTGTTGGTGCGCTGGACACTTTTAGTGCTGCAGTATATGAGCATACAGTGATAATACCAAACAGAACAGAAACACCTGTTTCAAAAGAAGAAGGTTTGCTCCTGATGAACAAGAACATAGATGTTTTGGAGAAAGCAGTTAAGCTGGCAGTGAAGCAGGTATTACCCTTTTATACTTGTAAAGGAGACTTGCAGTTTGATAAAAGAGTATTTGGAATTCATGAGAAACTTTTTTGCCCCACTTGTTTTGAGCAGGGTGCACATATCATTGTGACCCCAGAAGATGGAATCTATGGTTGGGTCTTCACCAGGGAGAGCATTTACCCCTATTTGGAGGATATACCAGACCCTGGAGTGAACTGGATTCCATGTAGAGAACCCTGGAGGTGATGTCATATAATTAATTTCTAAACAAAACTTGTGACGTTGTAAAACACCAACAGTAAACTCACTGAACTTGACTGGTACTTGTGTTGATAAATAGTCAATCTGTGGCATAGGATGTAGATGATTCCTTTTTTTTTCTGTAATTTCAACTTTTATTTTAGATTGAGGGAGTACATGTGCAGGTTTGTTACATGGGTAAATTGCATGACGCTGAGGATTGGAGTACGATGATCGTGCCACCCAGCATAGTATCCAATAGAAAGGTTTTCAGTCCTTGCCTTCCTCCCTCTGTCCCCGCTCTATTAGTTCCCAGTGTCTATTGTTCCCATCTTTATGGTCATGAGTTCCCAATGCTTAGCTCCCACTTATAAGTGAGAACATGCAGTATTTGGTTTTCTGCTTCTGTGTTAACTCGCTGAGGATAATGTCCTTTGTTGATGCAAAAGACATGATTTTGTTCTTTCTTGGGCACCTAGGTTAATTCCATATCTTTGCTGTTGTGAAAAGTGCTGCGATGAACATACAAGTGCATCAGTCTTTTTGGTAGAATGATTTCCTTTCCTTTGGGCATATACCTAGTAATGGGATTGTGAGTCAAATGGCCACTCTGGTTTAAGTTCTCTGAGAAATCTCCAAACTGCTTTCCACAATGGCTGAACTAATTTACATTTCCACCAGCAGTGTATAAGCATTCCCTTTTCTCCATAGCATCTTTTATTATTTGACTTTTTGTTAATAGTCATTCTGACTGGCATGAGAGATATCTCATTGTAGTTTTGCTTGGCATTTCTCTGATGATAAGTGTTGAGTGTTTGTTCATGTGTTCGTCAGCCGCTTGTATGTCCTTTTTTGAGAAGTGTCTGTTCATGTCTTTTGCCTACTTTTCAATCGAGTTATTTGTTTTGTTTTTGCTTATTGATTTAAGTTCCTTATGGATTCTGGATATTAGACCTTTGTTAGATGCCTAGTTTGCAAATGTTTTCTCCCATTCTGTAGGTTGTCTATTACTCTGTTGATAGTTGGCTTTTGCTGTACAGAGTGCTTTAGTTAAATTAGGTCCTATGTGTAAATTTTTGTTTTTGTTGCAATTGCTTTTGAGGACTTAGTCATAAATTATTTTCCAAGGTTGATGTCTAGAATGGTGTTTCTTAGATTTCTTCTAGGATTCTTATAGTTTGAGGTGATAAATTTAAATCTTTCATCCATTTTGAGTTAATTTTTGCATATGGTGAAAGATAGGGGTCCAGTTTCAATCTTCTGCATGTGGCTAGCCAGATATTCCAGCACCTTTTGTTGAATAAGGAGTTCTTTCCCCATGCTTACTTTTGTGAACTTTGTTTGAGCTACAGATGGTTGTAGGTATGCAGCTTTGTTTCTAGGTTCTCTATTCTGTTCTATGGCCTGTGTGTCTGTTTTTCTAACAGTACCATGTTGTTTTGGTTACTTTAGCCTTGGGTAATGTGATGCCTCAGGCTTTGTTCTTTTTGCTTACCAGCACTTTGGGAGGCTGAGGTGGGCAGATCACTTGAGATCAGGAGTTTGAGACCAGCCTGGACAACATGGTAAAACCCCATCTCTACTAAAATACAAAAATTAGCTGGGTGTGGTGGTGTTTGCCTGTAATCCCAGCTACTCGGGAGGCTGAGGCAGGAGAATTGCTTGAATGACAGAGTGAGACTCTCTCAAAAAAAAAAAAAAAAAAAAAACCCAGAAAAGAAATAGTGTTGAATCTGCAGATACTGCTTACATTTCATAATGTATATCATCTGGCATATCTCCTGTTTGGTAAGTGACTTGAGATACTGATGACTGGTTGGTTATTTGTTGCAATTGTCTTTCGAGAACAGTAGGTGTGAGGCTGGGCGCGGTGGCTCACGACTGTAATCCCAACACTTTGGGAGGCTGAGATGGGCAGATCACGAGGTCGGGAGATGGAGACCATCCTGGCTAACACGGTGAAACCCTGTCTCTACTAAAAATACAAAAACATTAGATGGGCGTAGTGGTGGGCGCCTGTAGTCCCAGCTACTTGGGAGGCTGAGGCAGGAGAATGGCGTGAACCCCGGAGGCAGAGGCAGGAGAATATCGTGAACCCAGGAGGCAGAGCTTGCAGTGAGCCGAGATCGTGCCACTGCACTACAGCCTGGGCGATGGAACGAGACTCCATCTCCAAAAAAAAGAAAAGAAAAGAAAAGAAAAGTGGCTGTTACCAGGCATGGTGGCTCAAACTTGTAATCCCATCACTGTGGGAAGCCAAAGCAAGGGGATTGCTTGAAGCCAGAACTTTGAGATCAGCCTGCGCAGCAAAGCCAGATCCTGTATCTGCAAAAAAAAAATAAAAATTAAAAAATTACCCAGGTGTGGTGGCACACACCTATAATCCCAGCTACTCCAGAGGCTGAGGCAGGAGGATCACTGGAGCCCAGGAGTTTGAGGCTGCAGTGAGCTATGATTGCATCACTGCACTCCAGCCTGGGTGACAGTAAGACCTTGTCTTAAAACAAATAGTAGGTATAGGCCAGGTGCGGTGGCTTACGCCTGTAACCCCAGCACTTTGGGAAGTGGAGTCAGACAAATCACCTGAGGCCAGGAGTTCAAGACCAGCCTGGCCAACATGAGGAAACCCCGTCTCTACTAAAAAATACAAACATTAGCTGGGTGTGGTTGTGCATGCCTATAATCCCAGCTACTTGGGAGGCTGAGGCAGGAGAATTGCTTGAACCCAGGAGGCAGAGGTTACAGTGAGCCGAGATCATGCCACTGCACTCCAGCCTGGGTGACAGAATGAGACTCGGTCTCAAAAAAAAAAAAAAAAAAAATATATATATATATATATATATATATATATATATATATAGAGAGAGAGAGAGAGAGAGAGAGAGAGTAGGTATACACACAATTGTTATAGTAAATGTGTTTAACTGGGTTTGAACAAAGTGAAAGAGTTGTAATATCTAGAACCTGTGTCCCAAATACAAGTAAGTTGGTTCATCCACAGACACCTGCCTTCTTCATAGGAAGAGTAAAAAGATGAATGAGCCTGTTTCCAAAGAGCTTTGCTATCACTATCATTTACAATGCAATCAATATGGCAAATGGAAATTGTACAGGACTTCTGCGACCACATTTTACGACCACCTAGCTGAGTGATGTAACCTAAATGCCTAACATTTCCATTTCTTTATCTGTAAAACAGGGATAATAGAGTCCTTGTCTTAATTCTCTTACAGAGTAGACAAGAGTAATGAAGTAATACACATGGAATTTGTACATTGTAATGCACTGTCCAAGGCTAGCTGTTACTATTCCTTTTTTTAGCAGAAGGGACTGAGTCTGAACTTCTTTGTGTTCTTGTCCTTTGAGAAACTTTAGTAATTATTAGTAGATGTAATTTAAGCATAACTTTCTTAAAGAAAATATGCATAATTAATATGATATTTATGAAATAGATTATTTTAGTTGTATTAATGGTTTAAAATAGATTAAGATTATTTCTTTAAATAGCAAAATTGATGGGTTAAGAAGTTATTTAACTTGCTAATTTTAAATTTGCATGCACCTGTTTAGAACTACATCTATTGTGCAAAAAGAGAAACTTCTTTGATAATTTTACCTATGTAAAATTAAGTGAAAAGTCATGCTTAATGGTACAACATTCAGGCTCAGCTATGTGAGTCAAGCCTCACTCTGGGATTTTTACCTTTGGAAAAATATTCTCTAAACATTGCGTGCTCTGTGTTTACAGAAACCATGTCACTGTGACTCAACATCTACTTGCTTATGAGGCATTTCCCAGAACAAGAAGGAATGAATCATTATTTGCTGCAATTCATGAGACTTACACTAAAATGTACTGTATTTGACTGGGCTAATGAAACTGACTTTTCCAGGGGAAAGAGACCCATAATTCTGATAATTAGCTATAGACAAATTATTTTAGGTGGGGAAAGTAAGTGACTGATGAAATTTCAACATTATGAACTCTTACACCTACTTATTCAAATGACACCCTTTCAGTTTTGTGTTACAAAAAGGAGAAATCCAGTATTTAATATAATGATAATATCGGAAAAGAAAGTCAGTTTTCTCCCTAGTGATATTTATCCCTAAAGAGAATAATAGAGAGTCATGCGGTCATCCTTGCGTGTTTAAATATTTAGAATGCTGACATGTCAAAGAGTTCCATGGGCTTTTTTCATGAGTAACTAGTGGGAAATATTAAATAACTCAAATTGTTTAGTCAAGAAAAGAAAAATTAAACAAAGGACACGATAAACTTATTAAAGGTCTTAATGAATGTGAATATTAGTAATATTTCTCTGTTTTTTTTTTTAGAAGAAAATAAAACAAAAAGGTCTAAACCAGTAGGCCATTAAAGTGTCCTTTTTATTCAAAGGTTAGTTTAACCTCAATTGCAGAAGGGCTGTGAGATCACAGAGAGACATGGAATGGCCTCTAATCACACAATCCATAATAGCAATGTTCATTTACTGAGCACTTACTTGGTTCCAAGAACTGTACTTGGTGTACTATACACATTATTGCATTCAATTTATGCAGTTGGCATTACTATTTGCATTGCAAATATGTGAAAAAAGGAAGGCTTTTGATCTCATAACTGGTCATTAGATTGGCCGTAATTAAAACAGCTATGTCCTTTAAGCTGTGCTAACGGAATGGACTCTAAGGGCTTAGATGCACCATATTATAATAAGATTTTAGTGACTAGCAAATCCATTTATTTGACAGAGTGAGCTGGTTGCTAAACCTTTTTTATCATATTTTCTGCTAAAATCTGCCTCTCTTTAACTTCCTTTCATTGTTTTCGTGCACTCTATGCTATGTTCACACATATGACCCATCTCCTATAAATTAAGCCTTTCAGATATTTGAAGCCAGCTATCACCATGCCACATTCCCTTCTTATATCAAGGATAAATATCTTTAATATGGATGGACTTGGTAAAACAATTTCATGTCTGTACTTATCTCAGGATTTCTCATGTGGATCCACTAAGGCAGAAAGGAAGCTATTATGTTACATTTGACAGATGAGGAAACTGAGCCAGCACAGTGAAGTGCTTTTTATTTTTTATTTTAATTTTTAACATTTCCACTACTTAATGCTATATTTGTTTTCTATAGAAGACAATCTGGAGGGTACAAACTATTTACTGTCACCTGGCATTTCTGTTTCCAACCACATCTCGTATCAGCAAACTTGTACAAATTATGGCTTGGATTATAGAAAAGGTCCTCTCCATTTGCAGAGTCTGCTAAATTTCAAGCGCTTCATTTATCTTCCTGGGAGCACTTCATAAAAGAATGTGCTGCTTCTTTTCATCCTCCTCTTCCTCTTCCATCTTTTCTTTCCTTCAGTCTTTTACTGTAATCTGGAGTTTGGCATAGGAAATTAGGTTAGCTTTCAGGAAGATAAACACTATGTCACATGAGAGTTTTAAAATATTTTCTGTTGCTTCTTGACCTAGAGCTGTTGTGTTATGGGTAATGGGCAAATAAAGTATCACTTTGGTATTTCAGAAATCACTAAAATATAGTAAGTTTGAGGAAATGTCTATTGAATTAGATTTGGCAACACACCAGTGCAACAAAGACTCAGCTGCCTGGCCAAGGACAACTCTATCTATGTTGTGGCTAATATTGGGGACATGAAGCCATGCAATGCCAGTGACCCTCAGTGTCCCCCTGATGGCTGTTACCAATACAACACTGATGTGGTGTTTGATTCTTAGGGAAAACTGGTGGCACGCTACCATAAGGTGAGAATCACTTGTGCCTTAGCTCAACTTGTTACTTCTTTTGTGTGCTTGTGGTATGTATGTGTGTCTGCTTGTTGAATGCTGGGAAGAGAACTGTTGTAGATGCATCTTATAATTATTACATCATAGTTGAAAAGGAGATTTAATTCAGTTCCATATAAGGTTCTGGGTTTCCATTTATCATTAAACAGAATATGGTAGAGTATTTAAATGGATGTGACAATAACCACACAAAGCTTTTAATGTTCTCTGAAAAAGAAGTAAAAATTCTGTTTCATTCATGATTTAATATCAGGTTCATTTTTTAGCCCAATTTGTTAGCATTTCATACTAAGCTACCATATATTCCATTAGGACTTTTTTGGTTGCAATGAAAACAAAACCTCAACTGAAAATGGCTTTAACAATACGGACAATTTCTTGCTTATGCACATGTAAAAATTGTAGCATAGAAAGGATAGATCTCATTTCAGTGCGGTCTGACACTCAGAGGCTCCAAAATTATCATCCATCCCTCTAGCTCTCCTAGCCCTTTGTTAAAGCTTCTTTCTTGGGGCAACTCTCCTTTTAGAAGCCACATTGCTGGAGCAACACGCAGTTCACATCTTTATCAACAAAATCTACAGGAAGGGTATATTTCTCCCTCCTAGAACCCTGCAAAGGCTTTATCACTCCTTGATTCAATTAGTTGACATGCCTTTCCTGAGCCAACCACCAAAGGATGAAGGATGACTGCCACATGGGAGAAGAATGGAGGAGCAAGAGGCCTCCAGGGACCACAGAGATGGGAAGTAGCTCTCCCCAGAGCACACGCATGCACACAACAGGCCAAACAAAAACCTGAGCAAAACATAAGCTGTACTCCTGAGCCCAGGTTAAGTGGAGTTTTGGAAAAAGAACCAGGCTGAAAAATAAAATAAAGTTACTAATGGCTTACTAATTAATAATATGTAACAATTGCATTGTCTAAATTAATTTTCAATGGACTTCACTTCACTTCTAAAAACCTGGCAGTATCATTGGGACACATGACAAAGTTTGTTTTATTAACATGGTAGTGCTGTTGAAATTTAAAGAATACAGTGGAAAACAATCTGAGAAGTGTAGGATTCAAGATTTCAACCTGTGATTTTAAGATAGAAATTTTCACATTTTAAATATCATTTGTACATGTACATTGGTTGTAAAAAAGATAAAGTTTTTTGATTAATGTCACAGTAAGAAAATTTATAGATGGTGGTATAGTGGGCATGATTTTTACAAATGTATGAGTAACAGTTTTATTTTGTTGTTGTTGTTGTTGTTGGAAATGGAATCTCGCCCTGTTGCACAGGCTGGAGTGCAGCGGCGTGATCTCGGCTCACTGCAACCTCTGCCTCCTGGATTCAGGGGCTCCTCCTGCCTCAGCCTCCGAGTAACTGGGATTACAGGCGCATGCCATTATGCCTGGTTAAATTTTTTTGATATTTGTAGTATAGACAGGGTTTCACCACACTGGCCAGGCTGGTCTCGAACTCCTGACCTCAAGTGATCCGCCCACCTCAGCCTCCTAAAGTGCTGGGATTACAGGCGTAAGCCACCACACCTGGCCTATGTGTAACAGTTTTAAACCTGCAAGTCAACATACATGGGAGGAAAGATTTAATGGGGAAAGACTTAATTGATCACATCTATTTGGCAGTTTTCTTATTAATTTTCTTCTTCTTTGCTTTTTTATTAACAGTACAACCTTTTTGCACCTGAAATTCAATTCGATTTCCCCAAGGATTCAGAACTTGTGACTTTTAACACTCCCTTTGGGAAGTCTGGCATTTTTACTTGCTTTGACATTTTTTCTCATGACCCAGCTGTGGTGGTGGTGGTGGATGAGTTTCAAGTTGACAGCATTCTCTACCCCATAGCATGGTACAACGTGCTGCCCCTCCTCTCGGCTGTTCCCTTCCATTCAGCATGTGCCAAGGCCATGGGAGTCAATCTACTTGCTGCAAATACCCACAACACCAGCATGCACATGACAGGTAACTCATGCGGGCATGTGCCAAGTGGGAGTGACAGTCTTAAAAAGGCTTCATTGATTTTCAAGCCACACACTTTTGTTTAATAACTTTATTACCAATTTTAAGATCACAAAATTAATAACAGCATTTGTTTCTACTTAAGGAAACTTCATTGTCCTTGTGAATAAAGGAGGCAAACATTATTATCTCAATTTTACTTGAAAGGAAATTGGGGTTGGAGGAAGTCACATAAAAAAATCAAAGCCAGTTCTAAGAAATTTCCTAGCCAATGTGCATTAGTAATATCGAAATAAATCTTGTTGTTTAAAGTAAACAGATAACCTACAGAGCAGAAGAAAATATTTGCAAACTATGCATTCCATAGAGATCTAATATCCAGAATCCATAAGGAACTTAAATCAACAAACAGAAAACAAACTATCCCATTAAAAAATGGACAAAGAACGTGAACAGGCACTTCTCAAAAGAAGATATACACGTGGCCAGCAAGCATGTAAAAATGTTCAACATCACTAATCATTAGAGAAATGCAAATCAAAACCACAATGAGATACCACCTCACTCCAGTCAGAATGGCTATGATTAAAAAAATAAAAGACAAACAGCTGCTGGCAAGGTTGTGAAGAAAAGGGAACGCTTGTACACTGCTGGTGAAAATGTAAATTAGTTCAGCCACAGTGTAAAGCAGTTTGGAGATTTCTCAGAGAACTTAAAACAGAACTGCCATTCGACCCAGCAATCCCATTAATAGATATATACCTAAAGGAATATAAAACATTCTACCATAAAGACACATGCACTTGTATGTTAATTGCAGCACTTTTTGCAATAGCAATAACATGGAATCCACCTAGGTGCTCATCAACAATGAAGTGGATAAGGAAAATGTGATACATATACACCATGGAATACTACATAGCCATGAAAAAGAATGAAATAATGTTCTATGCAACAAGATGGATGCAACTGGAGGTCATTATCCTCAGCCAGTTAACACAGGAACGGAAAATCAAATACCACATGTTCTCACTTAAGAGTTGAAGTTAAACATTGAGTACACATGAACACAAAGAGGGAAACAATAGACACCAGGGCTTAGTTGACAACTAAGTTGACAATTACCAGGAGGGTAGGAGGAGGGTGATGATTGAAAAACTACCTATTGGATATTATGCTCACTACCTGGGTGACAAAATCATTTACACACCAAACCCCAGCAACATGCAATTTACCCATGTAACAAACCTTCACATATTTCCCTTCTATACTAAAATGAAAATTGGAAAAAAAAATACAAATAAATACAAATATTTCAGGCATTAAAAAAAAAAAACTTGTCGAAGTGATAAAAATCACTTTTAACTTAATCAGGTTTTTAGAGTTTCTCCTTTATAATATCCATGTTCAAAGTAATGCAGGCTTCCTTCTTAACTGCTTTGTTATTTGTTGAATAACAAATCCCAAACACAAATAAACTAAATCGTCAGTGGAGAGATAAAATTATTCTTCACATTGGGGGATTTTCTAGTTTGTTGCTAAGTTGGCTTAAAACTATGCCCTCCATGTCAAATGATAATTTCAGTGCAAGTAGTACCTTATGGAGGACACACAGTCAAATTGGAACTTAGGCCAATGTAACAACTAACTCCTTATCTATCTTAAAAATATGCTTTAATAACTTTGTATTTAATTCCACATGGGAATATTCTATTAGTTGGTTACCATAACAAATCTGAAACCAATGTTTGTGTTTCTGTATGTTGCTTGTAGGGAGTGGAATCTACACCCCAGAAGCAGTCAAGGTGTACCACTATGACGTGGAAACAGAGAGTGGTCAGCTGTTGCTATCAGACCCGAAGTCTCAGCCTCGCCGTGAGCCCACCTACCCTGAAGCTGTTGACTGGCATGCATATGCCAGCAGTGTCAAACCGTTTTCCTCTGAGCAGTCAGATTTTCCGGGGATGATTTATTTTGATGAGTTTACCTTCACTGAGCTTAAGAGAAATCCAGGAAATTACAGTTTGCCAGAAAGATCTGCGTTGTCACTTAACTTACAAGATGTCTAAAAAGCGAGCAGATGAGGTCTATGCCCTAGGTGCTTTTGATGGACTGCACACAGTAGAAGGCCAATATTACTTACAGCTAGAACTGCTTAAATATGTTAGAGTGGTCTCATTATTAGTTTTTATTCTAAGTCATCATTGCCTTTCTTTGAAAATTGGGCTGGATTTAGCTAATTTTATAATTAGTAATGTTATCACTGAATTTTGTCCCCAGAACACATTATTTGTTCAGTCTTAGCAAGAACAGAATTAGTTGTTTTAGTTGCAAGGCAAAAACATAAAGCAAATTGGTTATCAGCACGCCAGGTTCAGGTTTCAAAAGCTGCAACTTCTGTGTGTTCTCTTTTTCCATCAGTTTACTTTAGAGCAGTGTTTTTCAAATTGTCTTCAACTAAATCCAGAGAAAGAAGGATAATTTATATCATCACCCAGTGTAGCCAAGTAGATGTGTGACTGAATAAAAAAAAGATATTCAATTGAAGTAGCTTATGAAATAATTTAAAATAGGGTTATAAATAGCTATTATTATGTGCAATGGACTCTGATTTTTAAAATTCTATTTGACTTCAGTATAAAAAGTGCTAATCCTGACCCACTAAATTGATTTTAGGATTCACTAATAAGTTGTTACCTGCAGTTGGAAAAATACTCCTTATGAGGCAATTGAAATATTCCTTTATAGTTTGAAATTGCATTATTTAGCTGAGAAACTATTTGCAAGGTTTCTGACTCCTTCTCTTTTCTTTTCTTCCATAGATATGCACATTACTGAAGTGTCAAACCACTGACCTGGAAACGTATGGAGAAGCTGTGGGGTCAGCTTTTACCAGGTTTGAGGACTTCTCTCTCAGTGGCACATTCGGAATGCATTATGTTTTCCCACAGATCATTCTAAGTGGGAGTCAGCTTGCCCCTGAAAGACATTATGAGGTAGGAGGTATGCAGGATGATGAATTTCTTCGAACAGAGCAGATGGGTAGAGCAGCATAAAGAAAATCTTTGCAATAATGAGAGTATAGCAATACCGTGGTTCACATTCCACAAGAAACACTTTAAAGACGTGGGAACTATGATATGGAATACAAGTTGTGGTTTTAGATTGCCATTAGGCTGTGATGGAGAATGTGGGGTTCATTTTTTTTTAACAAAAATGTGATGTTGATATTCAAGGCAACAGTAAATTCATAGAGAAGCTAAAACAAAAATAATGATTGCTGATAATGGCAATAATGTTGTCATTTGCATGGTGTAGAAGGTGCAAATTAAATACATTAAATAATGCATCTACAACTTCTTTTCTGGGTATGCTATTTTGAGAAGTTGTTATAATTATACTAATAACTAATATTTTGGATAGTGTTTCATGAGTTTGAAGAACATATTTTTATACATGATCTTATTTGACCACCTGTGCAACAAATTTGTTTGCTGTACTTTAAGCAAAGCCCCTCTACTTTCAGACTTGAAACATGAACCTGGGTCTTCCAACACAAATCCTGTGTGATTTTTACCATTCTACACTGCTTTAGGAGTGATCTTGCCAGAGAAGGGATCTAGGCTGTAACCTAAACTCTGCACTGAAGTTAATCCTTTGTTTTCTTTGACCAGATTTCAAGAGATGGACGCTTGAGGAGCCGAAGTGGAGCCCCTTTGCCTGTCTTAGTTATGGCCCTGTATGGAAGAGTGTTAGAGAAGGACCCTCCATGCTTAGGGCAGGGACCTGGGAAGTTCCAGTGATCTCCTTTAGCAGAGCCTTTTTAGGATCAGCCTGGCTAAGGGAGGAAGAAATAAAAGAGATCCGTTAGTGTCTGTTTAGAAGAGATGGCATGAATTTACGGAAACAAATAGAATAAACCTAAGCAGATTTGAAAAGCAACAAGTGTGTGTGCAAATTTCACATTTTACGTATTTGGTATAGCACAGGTTCATTCGTGGGAGCTGCATTCATCCTCCATGTATGTGAGTTTAAGTATATGTAAGTATGTATATGTATAGTGGAGCATATATTTAAATGGGAAGAGGGCCTAGAAAAATCCTTTTGCAGTAACTGCACTAAGGTATGCAAGTGTTGTTTTCATCATAAGATGGTTAATTTTATGTGTTGATTTGACTGGGTTGTGAGATGCCCAGATAGCTGGTTAACCATTGTTTCTGGGTGTGTCTGTGAGGGTGTTTCAAGGAAGAGAACAGCATTTGAATTGGTAAACTGAGTAAAGCAGACAGTCCTCCCCAATGTGGATAGGCGTCATCCAGTCCCTTGAGGGCCTGAAGAGAAAAACAAGAAGGAAGAGGTTTGAATTCTTTTTCTGCCAGACTACCCGAGCTGGATAGAGATCTTCTCCTGCCTTCATGTGCTCCTGGTTCTCAGGCCTTCAGGCCTGGATTGGAATTGACACCATCAACTCTCTAGCTCTCAGGCCTTCGAACGACAGCCCTGGCTTTCCTGCATCTCCAGCTTGCAAATGGCAGACCAGACGGCGGGATTTCTCAGCCTTCATAACTGTCTGAGCCAATACCTTATCATAAATCTCTTTCTCTCTCTCTCCTGTTGGTTCTGTTTCTCTGGAGAACCCTGACTAATACTCTTCATTTGTAAATAACAGGATGAACTTTGAATACACAGAGGGTATTTGATTCTAGCCAATTAAGATACAGGAAGTTAAAGAATAAGGACATCTTTTAAAGTAACTATGAACAACTTTTTAGCTAGTATTGTCCCTTTAGTCATGACTTATTTGACTCTTGCATTCTATTTACATGGAAAATGGATACTTAAAATGGATTTTTTTTTTTTTTTTGAGACGGAGTCTCACTCTGTTGCCCAGGCTGGAGTGCATGCAGTGGCACGATCTCGGCTCACTGCAACCTCCACCTCCCTGTGTAGGGAAAAGAAAGAGAGATCAGACTGTTACTGTGTCTGTGTAGAAAAGGAAGACATAAGAAACTCCATTTGATCTGTCCCCTGAACAATTGGTTTGCCTTGAGATGCTGTTAATCTGTAACTTTAGCCCCAACCTTGTGCTCACAGAAACATGCGTTGTATGGAATCAAGATTTAAAGGATCTAGGGCTGTGCAGGATGTGCCTTGTTAATAATATCTTTACAGGCAGTATGCAGGGCAAAAGTCATCGCCATTCTCCATTCTCGATTAACCAGGGGCACAATGCACTGTGGAAAGCCGCAGGGACCTCTACCCAGGAAAGCCGGGTATTGTCCAAGGTTTCTCCCCACTGAGATAGCCTGAGATATGGCCTCGTGGGATGGAAAAGACCCGACTGTCCCCCAGCCAGACACCCGTGAAGGGTATGTGCTGAGGAGGATTAGTAGAAGAGGAAGGCCTCTTGTAGTTGAGATAAGAGGAAGGCCTCTGTCTCCTGCATGCCCCTGGGAATGGAATGTCTCGGTATAAAACCCGATTGTACATTTGTTCTATTCTGAGATAGGAGAAAACCGCCCTGTGGCTGGAGGCGAGACATGCTGGTGGCAACGCTGCTCTGTTACTCTTTATTACACTCTGGCCTACGTGCACATCCAGGCATAGTACCTTCCCTTGAACTGATTTGTGACACAGTTTCCTTTGCTCACATGTTTTCTTGCTGACCTTCTCCCCACTATCACCCTGTTCTCCTGCCGCATTCCCCTTGCTGAGATAGTGAAAATAGTAATCAATAAATACTGGAGGAACTCAGAGATCAGTACCGGTGCAGGTCCTCCGTATGCTGAGCGCCAGTTCCCTGGGCCCAGTGTTCTTTCTCTATACTTTATCTCTGTGTCTTATTTCTTTTCTCAGTCTCTTGTCCCACCTGACAGGAAATACCCACAGGTGTGGAAGGGCTGGCCCTCTTCATCCCTGGTTCAAGTGATTCTCCTGCCTCAGCCTCCTAAGTAGCTGGGACTTCAGGCACACGCCCCCACACCTGGCTAATTTTTTATATTTTTGGTATAGACAGGGTTTCATCATGTTGGCCAGGCTGGTCTTGAACTCCTGACCTCAAGTGATTTGCTCTCCTTGGCCTCCCAAAGTGCCAAAATTACAGGTGTGAGCCACAGGGCCAGCTAAAATGGAAATTAAAAAAAAAAAAAAAAAAAAAAACTATGTCGGCCGGGTGTGGTGGCTCACACCTGTAATCCCAGCACTTTGGGAAGCTGAGGTGGACAGATCACCTGAGGTCAGGAGTTTGAGACCAGCCTGGCTGACATGGAAAAACCCCGTCTCTACTAAAAATACAAAAATTAGCTCATCGTGGTGGTGCGTGCCTGTAATCCCAGCTACTCGAGAGGCTGAGACAGGAGAATCACTTGAATCTGGGAGGTGGAGGTTGCAGTGAGCTGAGACCACATCTTTGCATTCCAGCCTGGGGCAAGAAAAGCAAAACTCCTTCTCAATAAATAAATAAAATAAAATAAATAAAATAAAATAAAATAAAATAAAATAAGTTATGTCATTCAGATCACATCTCATTTCCTTCTGAAATTATTCTGTTCTAAAATCTACCCAATCTTGGTTGAGCCCCTCTCAGTGCTCAGGCATTTATTGCAGGCTGTGCCAGGCTGGGAGCTTCCTAGACAGGACCACCGTGTCACCTTTTCCCCAGATACCTCTGGCCCACTGTCCTGGCTCTCTTAGTCATTTTTCTGGTTGGTCACTGATTAACTCTGGAAAGAGACATACTGAAGAGCAGCTGGGTTCTCTGGGTTATGTAGGAGACACCTCTTACGTCCACAGAATGTTTGGCAAATGCATTCCTGAACTCTTCCTAAGTGTTTATTTCTACCTGCTGTAATGCAGTCCAGGACCAGGAAGTCAGAGATATTCTGGGCAGCAGAAAACACACTCCGTTTCCCCCTCCCATCTTTCCTTGATTCTCCCTTCAGGGACTATCGCTCTCAGATCTTAGGTTTGTGCCCCAGATTCCTCTGTGTGCAGGAGGTGGCCATCTTCCCTCTTTATTGCCTCACGTTGGTTCCTTCTAGACTTCTTTCTTCTCTTTCCTAAGCCAGTTGTCTGGAGGCTGCATTACGCGCTCTGGTTGCCCCAGTTTCCTCGGCACCTCTCACCTCATGCATTTTTATGTAAGCTGACTCCTGCCCCCCTCTCTTTATTAAAAGGAACTTTAAAATCCAATCTCGGGGCAGGCTACCGTAACTCACACCTGTAATCTCAGCACTTTGGAAGGCCAAGGCAAGCAGATGGCTTGAGCCAAGGAGTTTGAGACCAGCCTGGACAATATGGCAAAACCCTGTCTCTACAAACAATAACAACAACAACAACAAATTAGCCGAGTATGCTGGTATGTCCCTATGGTGCCAGCTACTGGAGAGGCTGGGGTGGGAGGATCACTGGAGCCCAGGAGGTAGAGGCTGCAGTGAGCCAAGATTGTACCACTACACTCCAGCCTAGGCAACAGAGTGAGAACTTGTCTGAAAAAAAAAAAGGCAAATCTCGTGGTCAGTTTTCAGCTCTTACTAAGCCTATACTTCTTGGAGTAATTTTCCCCCCACATTTTAATACCTTTTGCTTTTTATTTTCTTTGATCTTTTTGTCTCTTCTCCCTCCCCCAACCACACTTATTTTGTTTGTCATTGATAAAAACGATCGCTCTGCTAGACTCAGCTCTCACAGCTGTATCTTCCTCATCTGAAATCTTTCTACGGAGAGTGAAGCCACTCTTATGGCTTGACTTAATGTTTCTGATACAGCAGAGTATAACTCACTGGTAAGCAAACAAATTTTTTCTTTCATGAGAGCAAGTTCAAGCTACATCATCATGTTTATAGGCTACATTAACAATGCAAAAATAATTTTATTAAGTCCTATGCAACAATATGTATTCTTGTAACATTAACAACTTGTGATATTATAGTTCCCGGCTTATAAATCCCATATCCTTTGTTAGGGTTTTTTTGTTTGTTTGTTTGTTTGTTTGTTTTTTTAACATTAGGGGGTTTTAGGCCTCAGGAGCAGGCCTGATGAAACAGCATCTCCCTCTCTGACATTCCCCTGTCCTCCCTAAGGCAGGACTACAATCTGATGGTGGCTCAAAAGACCCTCATTTCAGAGAGGGTCCCACCCCATACCCTAGAGGAAGAAATGCTACAAAGAGATGTCAAGACAAACCTGAACAGACAAACTCTACTGGGTTTCCCCACTCAAACTGTTAGTATGGGATCATATCCTTTTTGTCCAATCGCATTTCTACACGGTTGTCAATCGTGACTATGTAATGAAGCTTCCATAAAAACCCAAAAGGACAGAGTGCAGAGTTTCCTTACAGCTGAACACGTGGAGGTTCCTGGAGGGTGGCATATCTAGGGGTGCGTGGAAGGCTCTCCAGTCTTTCCCCCATACCTCGCTCTCTGCACCTCTTCATTTGTATCCTTTGTAATATCCTTTACAATAAGCCACTAAAGGTCAGTGTTTCCGCGAGTTCTGTGAACCACTCTAGCAAATTAATTGAACCCAAAAAAAGGGGTCATGGAAACCCCAACCCAGAGCCATTTGGTCGGAAGATCTGGAGGCCCAGACTTGTTACTGGTGGGAAGGAGGGGGCGGTTTTGTGGGACTGAGCCCTTAGTATGTGGGATCTGATGCTATCTTTGGATAAATAGTGTTTGGATTGAACTGGAAGATAGCCAGCTGATGTCTGCTACAGTCAATTACTTGCTTTCTAGTGGGGAGAAATCCCCACCTACTTGGGGGTAACCAGTCTTTTGTGTTAATTGTTGAGGTGTGAGAGCAGAGGAAAAACGAATAGTTTTTCCTAAATATCAACAAAAGAATTGACATCGTGTTGTAGATACTAAATATGAAAATATGTGCATATATTTTGAGTGGCAATGCAGAGGCCGACTGCCAATCAATCTTTTATCGGACAC